CAGCAGATCCGACTCGAGCACACGGTGGAGTGCGTTTTCGGACGCGCCACAGGACACCACGTCGCCTCGAGCGTAACGACGCTATGCAGCGCGTCCAATAGACAATGTTCCAGGCTCGTGAGCCAGTGCATCTCGAACGACCGGCTGTTTTCCGTCACGTCGGCGGTAGCCGTGAACTTGTAGCCCCAGTCCGTGTTGGACCCGTCCGAGTGAAAGAGCACGAAGCAGTGGTCGGCCGGAATGACAAGCGGCGGCAAATTCCCGACGCCGGGCCAATTGAACGAGCCGTCGCGACCCGAGTACTTGTCTTCGCCGTAGAACGTCGTGCACGACTTGTCCGTGTAAAAGACGACGTAGTCGTAGTTGTACTCGGAGCGACACCGGCTGTCAAACGCAATGGTCATGCTCTGCGCACCATCGAGACGAAGCTCCTTGATTTCGTGCATGTCGTTGCGGTACTCGTGCTCCGACTCGAACACGACGGTCGTGCACCCGCGGTGCTTAGTCTCGACAAACGTATCGCGGCTTTCGACAGCACGAAACAACGGCTGAATGCGCTCGAGCACCGTCATTGCCAACGGCACAAAGTCGGCCACCACATCACTCAGACCTGATGTCGCCGCCGGCAACGACGCCACAAGATACTCGACAATTGCAAACAGCTTTGGGGCCACGGTCCCGAGCACGCTCGACTCGAGGATCTGCAACGCGGCGGCGGTTGGCGCCGTCGCGATACGTACACACAGTGCGTCGCAAGCAGCGAGAACGACACCAATGACGTGCGCAGTCGCCGATACATGCCGTTCGCACGTCGCTGTGACCGCGTCCAGCAGCGTCGAGACAAGATGAACGAGTGCGGCGCCGAGATCGACGCGTTCCGACGTCGTGTCACCATCCAGCTCGGACAACGTGAAGGCCGCCGATGCATCCACGATCTGCTTGATCGAGCTGCGAAGCGCCAACGAAATGTCACCGGCGACAAACGATTGCATTTTGGACCGCGACGCCATGTGCTGCACGAGCGGAAGCGCGATTGTGTCGCTCGTCGCAATGCAAGCCGCAAGCAAAGCCCATTGAGTGTCCACGGTCGGAAAAAGCATGTCGATCGACGCCACGTAGAGCCGGCGAGAGGCATCACGGAGGCGCGGTAGTGTGGATTCAGCCTCAAGCAAGGCTCGGAGGACATCGCGCAAGCCACTGTGCTGAACAAGGTCTCGGATGGCTCCGTGGTCTGGCAACGACTCGGGCGCAGCGCTCCATTGAGTTGTGTTGATCGAGAGCAGCTTGAGACTCACTTCGACGATGAACGCTTGCCACGGCGGAAGGACGGGGCTACGTGAGAGTTTTTCGACGAGAGCAATCAGGTCGCCAAAGGTACTTGGGCAGAGATCCACAGCAAACGCCACGTCCAGACGCGCAGTCGAGGGCAAAGTGTCGTTGCTCCAGTAGGCATCAACAACACGGTTGCACACGCCAAAAAGACGGACAAGAACCGAGATTGACGAGCTCGCTGTCGAAGCGAGAAGCGCCGAGACGTCCACCTTGTCGACGGTCTGCGGCATCCCCACACGGGGACCGTCGTTGCGATGGCACACGATCGACTTCTTGGTGGCCGCCCAGAGGACGTTGTTGCGCAGATCCAACGTGATGGCAGAGAGGGGGCAGTCGGCCGAGACGGCAGTCGTCGCTTCGGCCGTCGCCAAGTTAATCGCGACACACTGGAGTCGTGTCTCGTCGACACGGTAGGCCGCGATACTGTGTCCATTCGTGATGCACATAAACGGCTCTGGTGCAGTCCAGAAAGCTTGGACGTCCGCCGACATCGAGGTCGTGTCTGCCAGCAAGGGGCGCGGAGACCGAACCCACTCGGACCCCGCGCAAACGAGTTCGTGGACCGCTACCGCCGCCTCGTGCAACTCGACAGCGAAGAGATGGACGCCATCCGTGCAAAGCGTCGCGGTGCCTCGATCGATCGTCACGACCTCGACACACATCGTGTCGGGCTGGACGGTCAAATGGACCGAGCGCGCCGTGCCATCCGGCTGCACGCCGTTGAGGGCCACGAGTAACGTCGACTGGACATAGACGAGTTGGGCGCGCTGGACGACCGTGTCGGCACCAAGGTGTGTGCTCCATGCA